TCGGTTCCGATGCAGATGCTTGAAGGAATTCAATCGGCAAATTGTGCATCTGTTGCTTTTCAGGGCGCTGACCATTGAGGTGCGTAGAGGAAGGCATCATCGAGGGCAACTGCTGCCCTAACAATGAGCTGGCCTCTTGGAAGCCTCAAGCTTCCATCTTTGTATCCATGTTTGGTTTGGTGCCAAGGGTCCACTGAACATGGTGGCTGTGTGGCTGTATGAGGCTATACGATATTGTACTAGTAGTAAGGCCAGGAGCCCCTAGTAATTAGCGTTCTTGCTCCTAGTAGCGATGCCAGGAGCCCCTAGTAGCGTCCTTGCTCCTATAGTAGCGATGCCCTTTGTTACTAGTAGCTTCTTATATGCACATAAATTGGCATTGTGTGTGCCATTGTCCCCACTGTGCGCCTTCGAGGTGAGTCTAAGCTGCTGCAACAGTTCACCGCCTCCAGTGACTGGGATGCAGAGCTGGCAGAGCTGAGCTGAATTCATGAAACCTTCAGCCATAATCAATACATTTGGACAAGCTTCAAAAGTCCGGATCGACACTGTTCATCCCATGGTTAGCTGTGCCTTTTGACACCACTGACCCTCAGCTGAACAAGCGCATACAAGCCCTCTCAATTGGATGTTTGGATGATATCCGCCTAGGTGGCAGTGAGTGTCTCAGGTCAGAAAGCCGATCTACAGCATGGGCGCAGATGCTTGACCTTCTTTTTTAAAGCCCATGGCCCTGCCTCCTTACTTAATTAGGTAGGCGCATACTTAACTAAGTACGGGCGACTAGTTCGCTCCTAGCTAGGATGCAGGATAGCTCACGCTTCTTCAAGGAAGCTCAGGTGCGGGGGAGCTTCCTTGAAGAAGCGCTCGCACATGCTCGCACTAATGATTAGGTTCCTACTGTAGATTTTTTGCGAAACTTAGGTTTTTATGTCTCCTAAGATGTGTGTAGAAGCCCTCGCACGCCACTCCATACTTGCCAAAGTCCGCATTTAACGGACCATGCAGCAGATCGCACTGTCCAGGAATGCTCGGCCTTTCCACTGTGTGCCGCAGCGAACATGACGGGTGCTTGCTGCCCTACCACGAGTGGTTGCGCAGTTGCAAGATCAATGCCATAAGATTCATAAGATCATAGACTCTCATAGACTCATAGACCTCCGTCGGAGGTGTTGATTTTTGTAACCGTTGAAGCCACATCAATGTGCAGAAGCTAGCAGCATAAGCACATTATAATACAACTGCTTTGCGACTGTTAGCCTAGACTGCGTTTGGCTGCTAGACCACCGTGCCTCCTGCTACGCTCGAGGGAAACCTACAAGCACCGAGGTGTCCGACTCCAATGCTGCCCTGCAGAGACTGACTTTTAGTGGTCATCGAGTGCGATGCTGCAGCAGTTGGACATGAACTCGGATTACAGGTCAACAATTATGTTTAAAGGCATTGCTTGAGGGTATGACTACCGTGACCACCCTGACAAACTTTGATTGGGGATGTGTTTTCCCAGAGATACGTAGAGGTTCCGGGGGTTTGTCACTGGCACCGGGAAAAGTCAACACACGGGTTGCGGCTCGCACCTTTGGGGCGCACCTGAGTTACGACCAAACAGCTTTGCATCACAAATTGGCCTCGCAAGAGAAAGGGACCTATTGTCCGAAATCTTGCTGGCTGTGCATCTTAATTCCCAAGGGAGGAATAAAAGGACCACCTATGGCCTCGAGCCGTGATGGGGTTCTTGATCCATCAGCCAAGTTTGGCAGTTTCAGTGAGCCAAAGTCATTGTGCAATCCACGTCCCTAATCTCAACGGGCTTCAGAAGCTTAGTCCGTTGGGGAGATTGGCGCGCCTGTACTCGTGGGGGCCAATGGTCTCCCGCGCTTTTCAGAAGGGCGAAGGCCCTCAAATGAGTTCAGTGGAAGACGACACTGCCATACACCTTGTCAAACGTGATGAAGTTCTCACATTATACTGTTTGGTTCCATGAGCTTCTCTAGAGCGTACACATGCCTACACACAAATCAAAGACCTGGGCACCTAAATCTGCAAAAATTGTCGAACACCTCGGGCTACCTCGGGCTATTCAATGGAAAGTGACAGAACTTGGTGACCCAACAAAGAAGGTTTCTTCCCCTGGCCCAGAACCGAACATTGCATGGAACAACGGCTTCTTGCAGTTGCGTGTCAACATTTGCACGCTCGTCCAGTAAGGACTGGTGTGCAAGGACAAGTTAGAGATCACGTGACATCCTTCTTGGACAAAAGGATGGGTCTGAGCGTTTACACCAAATCCATTGGAGGCCATTGCTTCCAGGTTGGAGGCCATTGCTAGTAGGTTGGAGGAATGTTGGATCTCTCAAACTGTGTCAGAGCCACTGTCCTCAGTGGTGCCCAGAGCTGGCCACGCAGCGCTGCGAGAAACAGGGTGTGGGCGCCACAGATTTAAAGAGTCCTTCCAGTTCCCAGTAGGTCATGGGGCCGAAGAAGACCAAAGGCAAATAACAAAACTACAAAGTACTGGCCACTGGAAGAGCAACAATTCGTTTCCTGCAAGTTTGTGAAGTGTGAGGCTGATTTTGTGTCGAAGGAATGAGATAGCAAGTTTGTACCAATTTGGTGTGGCAATCTGTGGACTGTGTGTAGTGACACTCAATGACGCCATATCGGCCTCTCATAATGACCGGCGTGCAATTGGGGTTTGACACCCCCCTTATTTCAGGACGCAGCTGCGGCTCACAGCGTGAGCAAGCCTTACGCAGAATATTGCCAACGAGATAAAACCGTTTGTTCGCTGCTTATGTACATGTCGTTTGGTGGGACAACTTTGCTTCAAGTAGAAAAATCGATTCCTGGAATCTAACTATACAGGAGCAAGGACGCCACTAGGAACAAAGGGCATTGCTACTAGGAGCAGGGACGCTACTAGGGGCTCCTGGCATCGCTACTAGGAGTAAGAAGCTAGATGGGAGTCAAGTGATTTGAATCTCAGCCTTCGCTTACATATTCATTCGACTAGCTCAGGTGCCAGTGTGGCTGCCTCCACCAGGCAAGGGCATGTCACTCCTGCACCCCACCTCAAGAGCATACACGGCATTTTTGCGAGAAAGCAATTTGAGTAATTACCTCCACGGCTTTTGTCCACAGTAACTACTGGCATCATTGTTCTAGGTGTTCAACCTCTAATGTCCAATAAGAACATAACATCGCATGAGCAGGTTCCAATATCCATGGAATTTTCTCATGTCCTTTAACATCATTGAACGCGCAAATCAAGTCATCACTTGATGGCCTAGGTTCTTGCAAGCCTTCAAGTCAGCGAACTTCCTGCCGCAGGTCGTACTTTGTTGGTTCAACACGAGCAAAAACTGATCTTGTCAAGCTTCATCCCTGTGCCTATACTATAGAATCGCAAATCACATCCTGAATTGTCGGACAATGTAATGTTTTGGTTCAGGATTGTCATGTCATGTTCTTTGTGTAGGCTAAGGCCACCTGTATAGTGTTCAGTGCATTTGTCACTCTCTCAAGGTCCGTATATGTCCGTATCCTGTGTGTAAAAGGTGCATTCCAAAACTGGCCATGAAGTCCCATATGATTGGCACCTAGTATAATCCATCCCACGGATTGTGCATTTGGCGGGAGTGTCGAAGTGTTTGGCTCCAACTTCGTTGACCAACCTCCGTGTTCGGAGGCTGTTCTGGTGACCTGTCCGGTGGAGGAGGTGCAGTCCCTGCTCAGCGGGGGGCCTAAGAGCTGCCACGTTTAGAGCCGATTCACACAACCAGCCGATCAGCTATGCTAGGCGCAAACCTGTGCATCGTCAGCATCACAAAGACACCAACATCGAAACCCTGTGATACTGTTTGACATCTCTTTACTACCCACCGACCACACAAAACTGGACCAGCATGGAATCGACCATCAGCCCATTCCACCATGTCCACCCCGTAGAGGCATCACTTGCAGGTAGGTCGATGGATTGTGGCTAGCTGGATATGGATGGTGGGTGGGTGGATGGGATGGATGAAAAGCTGATACGTAGGTGTGGATAGATGTGGTGTGTAGAGTGTAGGTCGATGGATGGCTCTCGGGGCGAATGGTTGGTGGCTGGATGCTTTGGCTTTCAACTCCTCCCTTCTCAGGTCTCAAAAGACTAGAAATACTTCCGCCCCCCAACAATGCAAAACCCCCCGTCCCTTTTCAATGTTTTGATGGATTATTGTGAATATGCGGGGTGACTTGCCAGCTCACTGTACAACCTGATCTCCAAAAAAACTGTATCATGGTGTACCTGTACCTTTTTAGTGGCACCCACATTCCTCACGTAGAACACATAGGACATAGGTGGCCGTACAATGGCCTGGCCCCTGGAGGGTTCTGAAAGAGGTGTTTGGACAACCCAGTTGTTCATCATTGTCCTCGAAAAAACTGCTCCAATAGCATTGCTGCGCATTTCTTAGCCAAGCCATTGCCCAAAGGTTTCCTTTGTATGATGCACACTCACGGTGCGTGCTTGGACCTTTGCGTGTGACTGGTCATTGTCATGCAGAAGCGGCCGGGTGATTTCAGGGTCGCTGTTCTCAATGCATGGCGACATGCCCGCCGATTGGCAAGCCTTTTTTTCTGAAAGAACTCTCCCGCCCCTTCATTCCTGGAGGACCAGGTCCAGTCTGACTTTCTCCAGATTCATGAGAAAGCTTTCATCTCACATGTGTTTTGCCAAGGTGGCGATGCGGACTGGGTGGTGGGACACAAGCGACTCTTGCCACAAATCCGTGTTGCTTTCATCCAGTCTTAAAGTAGTCGAACTTAAGGATATTTTTTGTGTTTTCCTGTAAGCTTGCCAATGCTTGGCACAATCGTAGTGGGAGTGTGTTTTCCCCAGCGTCTCAACAAAAGGCAACTTGCATGACCGACGACCAATGAACAAAGCGCATCAGGTACAAGTGTCCTAGGTCCTAATTTGGCGAAAGAGCTGAGGCCAAATTCCACAGAAGAGTTCTATGCCAAGCGTGGCTGTGAGAAATCATAGCCAGTTCGTGCAGGACTGTTGAATCACCGATTCATGATTGATGATTGTGGCTCAATAAATTCACGATGTTCTCAAGGACTACCAGCGACGGTTCTTGCACAAGCCATCACCTGATGCCATTCTTGCGTGCCCAGGTCGCACAGAGTGGCAGACGCTTACAAAGCTCATTGTCCAGCAAATTCGATTCTGTTTATATAAATTGACCACTGATGAACAATTTTGTCAACAGGAATGTCCCTTTACTTTGGCTTGCTCATTCGAACTCCCCAGTGTGGTGGACTTAGTTTCCATCTTCGGCTTGGTTTCACCGATTGGTAAGGTATGCAGTGGCAGCGCATTTGGTGCAGGTTGCTTCGACTCCGGGAAGTAGACCAAAGTAGATATCCACCTTGTTGCTTTGACTCTTTTATATCTCCTGGGCGTGCGTGTTTGTTTATCCCTTTTCTTTTTGTTTAAAGATCATCAACTCTCCTTTCAACCTCTCTCTCACTCTTGCTTTTTGCTTTTCCAATCGTTTAGCAGTCATAACATGTTTTTGGCCTGAATGGAGGGAAGCAATCGTGAACTCAGAGTAATGGAGCTGGAGCACTTTTAGAGAACATTGGAAGTCGTGGCAAGCGGTGTTGCTGAATATATCATGAGTTAGTTCAGGGCTTTGGACAGACTTCACAATGCGGCCCAAACCATTTTAACTGGAAGTTCACGAGCTTGGACTTTCTTAGATTCCGACGTGCTTGGACGCCCCCCCCCCCAACACACCGCTTAGCTGCAGATGGTCAGAGGCTATTGTGGAGGCTGAGAATCCTGCAATGGATGCTGTGACAACAGTGCTGCAGAGAATGGGGAGTGGCTCGGCAGAGCATATCCGAAGCGAAGCCAAGTGCCTTTGTACTGCAAAATTGGGTGAAGAACACTATACTGTCGCAAAATTGTGATATATATATATACACTGATTTCGATGCCACTGAGCTTCCCATGAAATGATGCGCAATATTCCGCTGCACTCCCGACCGGTTGTGTCCATGCAAAGTCCCCTTTGCATGGAGCTTTCTCTTCTCCATGCAGGAACTGGTCTTGTCGGAGTAGTGGCACCACACGAGCAATTTGCTCACCAGCCTCCCAGTCGACGGTGTAACAGCTCCAGGTGCCGGCAGCGTGGTGGCAGTGCAGCTTCAGGCCACTTGCACCTGTTCCACAACATTTGCTTTTTAACAATGCAGCTGCTGGGGCCGTATAAGTTCTCGTCGTGGTTCATGTGGAGCTTTATACCTCTGCAACTTCCTGAGGGATCCACGCGTGACATGAGCCGTCGGATACCCAGTGCGTCCAGTTGCAGGCGTCCAGTGATGCGAAGGTCGTCTACCCTGCAGAGGTGCCTCGGCCCAAACTGATGCGAGCTTCACGGAGGTGATGGTGGCTTCATCATGTGAACATGACATGTGGTTTGCACTTGTTAAACCCGCCGATTGAATTTTGTAATCCTGTTGCAATGTTTTAATATTACTGTAAATCTATGCTTATAAAACCCGCCTGCTTGCTGGGAGGGGCTATATTATACTTGCCCGTTGCCTCACTATTATTCGTGCAGGCCGAAGATGTTCGATTCAAGGTATGTTGCTTGCTACCCTAGGGACATACTTGAGAGTCGGCTCATCCATAGCTATTGAATGCTATTCGCATCTCCACATACCAAAAAGGATTCCTCCCCTGTGCGGCTTTCCGTTGCACCAACTGCCTCAGGTGCAGCAAGTGCCAGTACTTTTCCCAATGCCCAGCTGGGCAGACAGGCCGTGCTGGACAACTGCCTCCAATGGTTGCCTGGCTCGCACTTTTATAGGTCTTGCACTCTAGCTGATTCGCCTTGCGAAAGATGAAAATGGTGGACAGTGCAGATCTTGTAATTCCTTACTTACATGTGTCCAGGCTACGATTCTGGCACGACCGCTGACCAAAGCTACAAGGCTGCTTCTCATGCCCGAGGTTATGGCTTTGGTGGAGCTGGCTGCGTGCCATGCCCCAATGGCACAGTAGCCAGTTCCCCAGATTCGATGCGCATATTCTAGTCCGGCAAATGCGGACAACAGGTTCCTAGACAAGTGGATCCTTAGGGCCTTAGGGGTGGCGATGTGCACCACCTTTTGCCTTGTCACTTGAGTGTGATATGGTCAAGTGATGATAGCTAAGCCAGGCTCATCCTGGATGTCCTTGTGGCATTTTGTGGGTAAACATCCGGAGTCTGAGTGTTTTGCTTGGCTTGACCCGAATCTCAGCTTCTAAGGCGCAATACAATCAGGCTGCTCAGCGGAGGGAATGCATGCCTTGCGCAGGTTGGTTTGAGCACATTGACTTTACTCACATCACCTGGGAGTGATCAATTGGCTCATATTATATAGTTCGATACTCATATTGGTGTTGATTCCGGAAAACCATGCATGCCAGACTCACAGGCAGGACCCTGGAGGTGGTAGGTCTCCGGAGACCGCAGGCAGTTCACTTTGCCAATCCGCTTGTGGGCACAGTGGCGAGGCGATGGCAATTCACGTCAGTCATGTGGTGTGCACAAAATAGAAGCGTCCGCCTAAGCCTAAACCAATAATATTACTCACGTGCAGTTTTCCTCATCCCCCTGCGATACTATACAGAAGGTACACATGTATTTTGTGTAGTTGTTCTGTCTCCTGGAGGCATGCATTTCATGTCCTCCTGGGATGAGCTGCAAGCTAAGTCGAATGCATATCTTGAACATGCAGCTAGTGGAATGTACAAGTTGCAGCGACATGCCAATGCCATTGCTTGCTGGTTTTTCGTCAACGTCCAGTGCTTCAATGTGCACGTTATTGGCACGCATGCACCAGAATTATCGGTGTGTGAGTGCAGTCTTTTCTGATTGATGAATTTGTGCATTCAGGCAATGCTACGGGGACCTGTGTTGAATGCCCTCCAGGCGGCTTCAGTGTGCTTAACGTTGAATTTGCATGACACACAATTTCTTTGGAAACTCTATGGCCATGTTTTCAGCTCCCGGAGAAGGGTACAGTATATTATATGAGAGAATATGAAGTCTATACAGGTTTGTTATTTCACAATGTGCGAAAGGTTTGTGCGTGAGCTTCATGCAAAAACTAGTAGCCATGGACTGTGGCATACTTGCATCTCCAGCATGCAGGCAATGCCAGCATGCGTGAGCTCCAGTGTATGCATGATTCTGCCACACAATGAGCAAAAGCTTAAGCTCAATATTCGACAAGCATGGATGGACTTTGATTTGAGAAGTGTCAATTGTGGACACATCAGTTGCAACATACACAGTTTGTCCCTTTCCGTCACCCTCCACCCTGTGCCTCAACAGGCCACTTCGCTTTCACCAGCGGGTTGTTCCGAGCTAAGTGTGGCCACGGCAACGCTGTTAAAAGATGGTGGGCCCGAGAGAAACTGGATGGACAGGCTTAGAATTGTGTGTGTTGCATGCCTTCTTCATGCGCAGATGCGCAGAAGCAAGAACTCGCACGTTTGGTTTCACGGCATGTTTTGTTTGACCGCCTAGGTCTAGCTGTTCTGTGTGTCCACCAGGCAAAGCTGGTAGCAACAGACCGACTTGTACATTCAGAATTCAGAAGTTACGTTACTATATTATACATATATGAACCATGTGTTGTTTCCATGTCATTTTGATAAATCTATTAATGGGCTGCGCAATGCGGTGGCTGCCTCAATGACTCAAACACTTTTGTATCTTCAATAATTTGGCATCAGCATGTGCAAACAGGGCCAGTTGCTTATTGGGAGCGCTTCCTTTGTTAAAGTTTTGCACCAACAGACTAGACTCTATGAATGAAAGAAACCTGATGACAAAGAGTACGTATGTAGTCCATATGTAGTCCGTATCTGCACAAACTTGCCAGCTCAGCCCGGTATCAAGCCTTCGCCCCCGCTTTCAGCTTGCGTCGCCGTTGGAGGCTTTGTGTCCGTCCCCAGCCGCCGGGAGTGTGAAGCTTGCCCTGTGGGTCAGTACGCTCCGGAGGCGTACTTTCGGCTTTCGGGTCAGGCGTTTTCGCAGGGTCAAAAGTAGTGGTCAGTCAATGGAGGTCCTGATCTTTCAGTGACCACGATTGAATTTGGCATAGTATTAACATGTTATTAATGAATAACGGGTGGGAATCGTTCTGGACAGGCTGGGCTAAATGCATGTCTCCATTGCCAAGTTGGTCACGAAGCCAATGGCACGGGCAGGACTAGTGATAGTGCTTTGCATTCTTTATTTTCTGTGGCTTGTACTCTAAAATCACAGCCTGACTTCATTTCGCAGGAGCTTCTGCACATCGTGCCCAGCTGGCAGGTTTAGTTTGTTTGGCATTTGTCAGGACTGCATGCTCAGAGCTTGCAGACAGATGAAGCCAACTTGAAAATGCTGGCCACCTTGGGCCCTTGCATTTTTTCCACCACAGGACTGCCCACTTGGCTCATTCCAAGCAGCATCCGGGCAATCGAAGTGTCACGAGGCTGGAATGCTGGACGTTTCAGCGTGTTTCGGCAATAATTCATCAATCTAGAATCTAGAGTCCTAGAGAATCAACCCAGGAGTGAGTAAGAGGCACTCATGAACAATCCTCATGGCTTGACAGGCACGTCTCACAAACCCTGCCTTTTCGCCCATTGTCACTGCAGGATGGCCTTGGCCAGAGAAGCGCCACTACAGGCACCAGCATTCCGGTCAATGTGCCTTGCCAAGAGCGTGGACTCCCTTGAAGTCTAAATGCTAGATTCCGAAATCCCTTGGCTTGATTGCCAAGTTGTGTTATGTCTTTTTCACCAATCTTGGGAAGATGTTGTTTTTCTCCGCCCACCAGCCTGGCAGACTCTATTTCCTTTTTCGCAAGTGAGACATCCTCCAATCATCCGACGCAGCCTATTCACTCCAGACGCAAGGTGCCTGGCTACTATGCAATTTGGGCTGCTGAGCTGCACACCTGACATGCCCACATCAACTAGCTACTACCTACTACTAACTATATATTATAATGTCAGTTGTATATAAATATAATTAGCATATGTTTCAAGAAAGCTTTAGCGAAGGCAGCTGCTGACCTGAAAAGCTTCGAGCCTTGGCTGCCGTTGGTGCTGCAAAAACTTAGGAATGGTGAGATTGAACACATGGTATGATGACAGTTTGACCCCAACTCCGGCATAGTCCAGATGACTCCCACGGTTTGTTTTCAGAACCTACAGTTGCGTCACTTGGGCCCCGGATCTGAGCAATTACTTCCTGTAACCTTCCTGTGCGCATGAAGCAAGAGGGGTTTTCCAAAAGCTGCAACACTTGTCCAAAATGTTCCATGCACATGTTTCCCCATGTGCCCCTAGTATAATAACAACATAATGATCGCTAGAATCACTACCATGTCACAATGGGCTGCCTGTTAGCAAGCCCAGGAGATGGAGCGTTGCTTGAGAGAAGAGGCCACATGCTTTGGGCTCTCAATCAGTTTGGGTATTTAGATGTATTTAGAGTGTCGTTGGTGCGATCAAGTGATACTGCACCTTGGTAGCTCGTGTGGCGCTGGGGCATTTGAGGCCGGCCCAGTCAACTACCCTGTGTCCATGAGAGCACTGAAGAGCCTCTACAGGACTGCTTAACGGAGCGGTGTGCAGAAGGTCACACAGGGCCAGGGCCCTGGTCGGATCCTGGATGTCCATGACGCGTGTGAAAATTCTCCATGACGTGTGTGTGAAAATACACAGCCACGGGACCCAAAGAGAACAGGGTTTCTTAAGGCATGAGCTTCTGACATACTGGCTGCATGAGATTGAATTTGCATCCAAATTGGTTTGGTCATGCTCAGAGGTTGATGTCCTGTGGTGAGGTTTGGATACGCCATGATTTGCTAAAAGGTTGATGGCCAAGGCAAGCCCAAAGAATGACCGGCTGAGGCGCCAATGCATTGCTCTTCTTGGTGGATTTAGCCGCTCGGCGTCAAGACCCCTGCCCGGAATGACAGTTGTGGACTTTGCATTGAGTTGTGTTCACCGGGTTCTTGACAAACTCAATGAACCAGAACAGAAGGACAAATGAGATGAAAAGAGGTACTGTAGGTAAGGACCCTTTTGGCTTTACCAGCCTTTTGTTCTCTCGTTTGTCTTTTTTTCTATAGCTTGTGGATTTTGTGTAGTTGCGGTGAGTGTCACATTGCAGCTGCCCAGGTGGAGCTCCTTCCAGCTATCAGCTACTCAGCTTCATATGTTTGCGCAGTTGGGTCGGCTCGTGGTTAATCTATGCTTCTGCTAGGATCCCGGCTTGCTTGCATGCACATCACATGTTCTTTTAGATCACACTGCCCTTGAAAATAGTGCAGGGTGGAAGGATGAATGTTCAACGTGTACATTGCCAAACCCACCAATCTGTCAGGTGTTTAAGCTGGCAGCTCTACGTGGCCATTGGCATTGTCCTGACTCTCCTATACCTGGAGACTCTGGCTTGTTTGGCCATACGGCCGATCGAAGTACGAAGGATGAGATGTGCCCAGTGATGTGGAGGTCATATCGGAGGCTCCATGAGCTATCGGAGGGGACAATCACTCAGCATCCCAAGGGTTTTGAAGTGTTGTCAGCCAGGTGGTGTACACCTCCTTTGCCGTATTCCTGGCAACATCTGCCTCCTGCCATCCAAAGAAACAGCTGAAGACGGCTGAATTTTCATGGTGGATTTGAAAGCACTCCGAACTAAAGGGCTTGACAGTTTGCCTTCTCGTCAATTGCCAACGATCCCTCCGCTTCGCCCAGTCCACGAGACACTCTCGCACCACGTTCCACCTCAATTCATGGGGGAGCAGCAGGCATCATACCGCGATTTCGGTTCATAGAAGTGTACGTAGTAAGGAGGCATGATCTTTGATTGAAATTCTGGCCCGACGGTTTTGTTGGCCACGGGTGCCACCTTGTGCTGGTCGCTTTTTGCCTCTTGAAATTTATTGAAAGGTAGGGGGCGTAGAGGGGGAATCCAATTGGTTTGACTCCAGCGTTGAAGAGGTCAAACCTTGGCACTTCTCCCTTCGCCAAGGCATCCAGTGCTTCACAGCCTTACTTGATCATGATGCGGCCTGGCAGCAGGGGAGGTAATGCTTGAGAATGGCCTCCCACCAGACACTGGTTTCACTTTACAAATTCGCTGCTTCATTATACTGTTCGTTGTTTAGCATCAATTGCTGCTGCTTGGCCCCAGGAAGATGCTGCTGAATCACTGTGCAAGCATGAGTGTGTTGATGCAGCTGAGCCGAGAATATGGGCAGTTGGGCTTTATGGAAGCTAGAGCATGCTAGAGCCCTCCGACTTGGCTTGCATGATCGAATTATCTTCCACACACTTGCAGAGAGATCTTCCGAAATATTGTTCTCACACCTAGATGGCAAGGGTCGTCCTACTGCAGCCAATCATAGCGGTGTTCTGACACATGTTGTAAACTATTTTTTGAGCTGTTCTCTCAATTGTAAGTATGCATATGTATGAGTATGTATGGATAGATGGGAGTTGATCTAAAGGGGTGTGAAAGGAGGTTATACAAAACAACCTTTCGGATGCTGCCCAAGCCATGCGCAAAAGGTTCGCGATGAGGGTGGCCCTAAAGTAGCTGTAGCGGCACTGTAGCGTGTGTAGATCATGCTGTTCGTGTTGTTTGTTTGTATACTGCTGTTTGACTAGGCATGATTTTTGGGAAAACCACCATGTGCACGCGTGCTTGTGTGTGCACAGCTTTTAGTGCAGAAAACCACCGAATTGGGCTGTTTCACGGGGTCCAATTTCATGGGCATGCGGAATGGATGCATGAAGAACTCGAACTACTGAAAAGAAGTTGTGTTTCACATGCATGTGGAGCTCTGCCGGACTTTGACTAATATCTCAGATCTCCTCATATCTCCTCACAACGAGATTTAACTCCAGCATGTTCAGCATCCATTTTGAACAGATGTTTTCCCCCAAGATGCAACCGTTGTTTGTTTGTCATCTCCTGCAGGTCCTGTTTCTTCCGCAGCTTTGCACAAAGTGGATTGATGGAGCTGCGCCTCGACCATGGCTTGGACACCCCTCCACAGCAATTCCGGAAGATGGGTGGTCTTGACTGCTTAACTTGCATGTGACACCAGGAATGCAAGTTTGTGTCACACGCCGCTGATACACGCCCCATGTTCAACAATTGTCATGTTCAATTTGTTGGCTAGATATGCGTGCAGAATCAGAACCCTGAATAGTAGATTCCATGACCATCTCAGAGTAGGGGGATGGATGAACTACGCATTCACCATCCCTGCCAAATCTGCAAGAAACCGCACTGCCTCAAACACATGAGTAAGTCAATCATGCCATTCTGTGCAGTGTCTCAACGCTTTGCCACTCTAAGTGACTCTCGTGAGTGAATAGGGAACATGTTTACCTTTGAGGGATCTAATTGACAAGAGACCATCCACGTGAAATGAGAAAGCATGCGATGCCGTCCTGCAGGATCATCAGCTACCTGATGATTACAGATACTCAGACTGAACAGATGTCATGTGGAATTGTTTGTTGCCGTAACTATTTCCTGAATCTCTAGTTTGCTGGGCGTTGGCTTTAGAAAGCTATGCTTTGTCCAGGAGGAGGCTAAGGCTGTGAGCAAGGGCATATTGTGTGTGTGATGTTCGTTGCGTCGCGAGGATGGCGCACCACCGTGTGAGAACGAACTCTTCTCCTTGCCCTGCCTACTGCAGCCGTGGCGCACAAAGGTGCGGTTTGGGAGAAGTTTTGCAAACGTGGAAGTGTTGCTGCTATCGAGTTTGGTGTTATATAAGTTCGTGCTCGAACCCTCGGCTGGAAATGATGTGACTTTGACACTGTGGAGGCTTGTTACTTGTTAGCTGTCGACGTTTTTTGGGCTAAAGATATGTCGGTTGTTTCGGGCTCACCCTTGCAATAGATCATTCTTGCATTTAAACAAGGGCTGTGCTACTTTTGGACAAGGGTGGAGAGCCAAAACAGCAAAGTATATCAAAGTACACATCAAGTGAAATCCCGGCCACCTCCGATTGGCCTCGTCGACCTCGTGTGTCCAAAAATCAGGCGTCCTGGCACCTGAACTAGGCATCCTTGGCCCTGACATTCCGTCAGAAAGATGAAGCCAGTGGCTTCACCATGAGTCTAGTGCACTTGGTCATGTTTTTCCTTCAGGTGAACGATAGATGGATGCCCCATATTCAGTGGAATTGGTCATTTGCGGAGGTGCATGTTTATAGAGGCAATGCCGGCAATGCAGCATCATTTATGTAAACAAACAATTCCATAAAGAAAGCCCGTATGCCGTATACTTTAAGTATGCTAAAGAGCCGAGTCCTTAACATGTTTGACACTGGCTGGGCATGTTGCTATATAATATATTGCTTTGGAGATCTTGCTTTTTTTTTGTTACCTGACCTGTCATAGCGTCACAGCGTTTGAATCTATCAGGGAGAGAGAGAGAGAGAGTGTTGGCAGATGGCAGGCATTACAGGATGCCTTTGCACATTTGGCAAGTGTTCCACAGGTCGCACTTGGACTGCAAACTAGTCAATCATTCCCAGGAGTTACTCCATATACCGCCCAAGTGCCATGTTCATCTCCAATCCATGTTGGTCGGATCATGACACTATATGGACACCTGCATTTGAGATGGCAAAGGTAGGGCCATCAAAGTCGCAGAGATTTGTTTTCGGCCCTTTTTGTGCTGACTTTTGGTCACTCACCACTTCGGATCCAAGGCCTACTATTCCACTGCGCTGGCTCAAGCTCGTGCTGCTTTGGTCACTTGGTGATAGATCATAGACTCCAGACACGTGTGAGGCAAGTGAAAGGCCGTCGCCAGTGCCAAACAAACTCTTGGGTTTGAACAACTCCCTGATTCAATGAGTCAATATTACCATAGTTCATCAATTTGGGCTGGGAACCGCAGAAGGCCCATGCGCGGCTTGTTGAGAATGATTGCAGTTGTGCGGGGTTGAGGCGTCCTACCAGTACAATACAGCATTGCGCCTACTGCTTTTTTGGGCCTTGCTTCCGTTGGCGGCAGCGATGCTTCCCTGTCTCCTGTTGTTGATTTGGCTTCGCAACCTGTTGGCATTTTGGACGTTTTCGCTCAGACCAACAGAAGAATTCACCCAGCTCAAAGTTGAGAAGCAGGACCATGTTTCAAGCCAGTCAGTGCACAGTGCTGATGTTGAGCGGGTGTGTTCCTCCAACTCTGAACGACAGCCTCACTTCTTCTTCGACCGCAAGTAAGGTCTCTACATGGCCAGACATGCTCAGCACTGGCAGCCCATCACCGACTTTGCCACGAAGGTGCTGAATTCAGCCTCTCAAATTTTGCGCGATTCCGAGCCATCCAAGCAAGTCTATAAAGCCTTCATAGTTCTACAACGTTCTAAAGGTCCAGGACAGACCACCCTATCGAGCGTGCACCAAGACTGGGTTGGGGGAGGTCAGAGGCTCATCCAAGTTTTGATTGCTTTGGAGCTCCGTTTCTGAGATCTACTTCTTTGGCTGGGACGCAACAAGCTTGTACGAGCCAGAGGTGTTGGAACGCTTTATGGCCATTTCACAGACGAGGACAGGGATGTGCAATCGGACAACTAGACAGCTGCATGAACTGTTGGACTTGAATGAAGATCCCTGGACATTATTGGACAGGTGTGTTGTCATGTTTTGTTCTGGGTTTCAGCGGGGTTTGCAGAAGGTGTTAGCTCTTGTCTTGCCCAACTATGCTCAACCATACCGAGAAACTTTATGCAGAATCAAGACGATGTCGTCCCAGCAAGCCGATTCTCATCGTGCCAACCAACTTGGGGGAGAGCGAGCCCCTATATCTACATGTTTTTTGTTCTTGGCCCGCAGGCTTTGGGGTCTTTCTTGGCCCTTGATGCACTCGGAAAACTGGACCAAAGCCGAGCCAAAGACTCTTGGACTTCACTAAACCATGCCATTGTGGGTGGTTGGCTTCTTGATCTGCTCGAGTTTAGGATTCGAGGCTTGCTGGCAAGCATTGGCAACTTGGTGGCACCCGGACATTGTACAGGCCTTGTCCTCGACATGTGACATGGGTTAGAAGTTAATAGAAGTTGTTGGTGACATACTGCTCTTTTTAAATCTGTTTGGCAATGTTTCCATGGGCTTCAGCATGTTAAAACTCCTTGCAATTCTTTGCGCAAGGGTTGCATTCCACCTTGACACCAGACACAGTAGGACACTCAAACCGAGCAGTTACGAATGAGCGTCAACCAGAGGCTGCTGTTTGGTGAGCCCCTTGCTTTTCCTGCCGCGGCTCCTCAACCATCTCGACCTTTTGCGTTTCTGGTCGGAGACAGAACCGTTGCGCATGGTTATGCTGCACCTTGGAATGAACTTAGCTTTTGCACGCAAAGGATTTGTTTTATAGGGCCCACAGCATCATGACACCGGCTTGCTGCTGCAGCGCATTGGCCCGTAAATGAGACGACTCCCAATGAGAAGGTTGGCCGTCATTTTCAGGCCTCACACCTGAATGAAGGCAAACCCATGTGGTCAATGTAGTCTGAGAGGTCACACCACCCGGATCCTGAATCCTCGATCGACCCCCATGACTGCCCCCGGAAATCAACGCAGTGATACTAGTAAGGACAGGACAAGTCCTCAATCAAATGATCCACAAGCCTTACTAGTAACAAGTGCATTACTACGAGGAACCAGAAGCTACTAGTAGCTCCTGGCCTAGTAGGTGGAAATTCCACAATTGCTCCTTCACTGACCCAGGTACTGCCTGTCCTTCCCTGCAGCACGGAGGGCTTCCCAAAGCCTATACTGTCAGGAGCTGGGCCAGACGGGGCCGGACCAGGTAGTGCCTTGGCGGAGTGAAAGGCAAGCAATAGTCAGGCAAGTACTGCACACAAAGTTTCCACATGTTGATTTGATTCTATCACACACCCAATCTATTTTGTATATAACTAGTCTATATGTTATAATTATGTAAGCGTGTGAATATTCCACCATTCATTCAATGCTAAACAGTAACAGTAGTCTTGAACTTAATATACACATTTAATATACAAACATACACCCCAAAAAAAGCTGTCAGGTTCATTCAAGATTCTAGTTCTTGCCTCCCAGCCACCAATGGACAAGGTGCTCTACTATAGTGGCGCCATCGAGTGCAGCCCCTCGTGCCTCAGCAACAGTAGAATTGGTGAATGCTTGAGATGATGATGATCAAGCAGGCAATTTGGTAGCATGGTAGCCTTGTCCCAGAAAGGTGTGAAGGCGAAAGATGAGGCGGAATGGAAAGGCAACCTTTTGTTGGCCATGCCTGATTGTCAATGAAGGTGTTGCTTTTGAAAGGTGGACATACTTACTAATTGAATCAAATGTCCTCTCTCTCTACATATATATATAAATATCTATATATAGACGTAAACAGAGTACATAATTTATAAATAACTAGTTTCTTCTCAATTCTACATGCACTTTGGACCCGTGGTCGCGTCGACTAAGAAGTCCCAGGCAGAGTTTGCACTATTTGGCCGCGCTTGGTGCACTGATTTGGTCATTGTGGCCATTCTTGTGCTGGTAATTTGGCAAGTTATGCATATTTCTGCTACATCATGTGACAGCTGCTAATGACAACACGGAAATTCACATTGCTTTGCAGGTGGCAGATGTGCCGCAGCCGCAAGAATGGTATGGAAGAAGCAGCCTTCAGAAGGCAGTTTGTTCTTCTGGCAGATGAACCTGCTAACCAGAGGTATTTTGTGCGTTTGTCGTTTGATACTTTGTTCGTAGAGAGTGAGAGGGCAGGGAGTTGCTTTGTTTGGGAGGTGGCATTCAACAATTTTTAACCAACGGTTCACCGGATGTGGACATCCAAAGCTTTAGCTTTGCAGGCGCTACGGCATAATGCTCTTGGGGTACAACAACTCATGCTGGTGGTGGGAGGCACTGTATGCCGCACGATGCGAGCTGTCCAACAATCAGAAAGCTACCCTGATCATTCGTGGCTAATGGCCTACTCAATCCAGAATCTATAGAACATTTATGAACATTTGGACATTTGGCCGCTTGGCTTCCAACAAACATGCATGATTCTGCTTGGCTCTTCAGCGTTGGATTCAGGTGGTGGTTTTCTTGCGAAAGTTCTTCCTGATCATAGCAGAGGCGCAACCGCAAAGTGAGCACATCACCGTGGCATTGAATGCCGCTGAATCACAGGTGCTTCCTTTGTCACCACTACAGCGGTACTTCTTCATTTCTTGCGTAGCTCGTCCAATTGTCCCTGTCGATTTGTTGAGGAAATAGTGACAGGCAGCAGGTGTGTCTTTCGGAAGCTGCGAACAAGGGATTTCAACATGTCCTTCCAACTTTGCTTTCCCAGAACTGGGCACAGACAAGCTCAGGTTGCACTCGCTGCGCTCATTGGCCAAGTTACGGCGAAGCCAAGCGATCAGCGCTTTGAGGACCTTTTGCCGCTGAGTGCGGAATGTACGTGCTTGTCGCACAGTGCCTTTTTTTTTTGATGCTTTTAAATGTTCTTTGTAGGGGAGGGCGGCATGTGGATCATGAGTTTGCATCCTGAAGAGTCTTGATGGGGCAGATGTGACACATAATATACAATATCCAGACAATAGATTAGATATAGTACACTATATTTATATATGTACATTTGGTGTGAGATAAGCCAACTATTCTTCTCCCTTAGCTGCCAGAAATACGACTCCGACAAAACATTCCACGCATTTTTTGCCGACTAAGGACCGGTTTGGAAATGAAGCAGCTTTTGGTGCTATTGATCTCCTCCTCACTGTGCATGATGACGGCACAGGGCTGGTTGCAGCCCTTTGGGGTAGTCTCTTAACAGCAGGTGACAGGAATGCCTTGAAAAACGGCCTGTTTCGGCAGGAGTAGCCCTGTGTTCAATTGTTTGCAAGGACATTGTTTCGATGAAGGTCAATGCTCGTTCTATCAGCCGGTTTCGTGGATTTCTGCTGGCAAGAGCCAGAACGAAATCCTGGCTGCAAAAGTTGATATCCTAACTTACTAACCTGGCTGTTTTTGGAGCTGTTAGCTCGGCCCAACTCTCAGCATTCCATTCAGTATGCAGCGATTGTCGACGTTTAACTTGATGGAGCCTGTTTTTCTTTTCCACCCTCTCAGGTTATTGCGGTAGCAGTGTTGCACGTGGGAGCCTAAGATGGCGTAGCAGTGAAGTGCCCAGAGTGTTTTGACTCTTTGCTTCCTTCAGAACACCCACGGACACGTGGTTGCAGTGGTCGCTGATAACTTGCGATTCCTTTGACATTTTTGACCATTGCATGACACAGACCTACGATTAGGGGGGGTCTCAGCCGTCTCGACCTTGGGGTTTTCCTTTCACAGGGGGAGCTACTCCAAGCTCAGAACCCTTAGGAATCTCACTTGAAAGATCTTTAAAGACAAAGGTTGGAGGCCGTGACTATTAGGTTGGAGGCCATGGCTATTAGGTTGGAGGCCATGGCTATTAGGTTGGAGGCCATCGCTATGAGGTTGAAGGCCATCACTGCTAGGTTGGAGGCCATTGCTATTAGAGTTGCTATTGGGTTAGGTTTTTTTTCCCTCTTCATCTAATTAGACACTCCAAACGATGGTGAACTCCACCAGCAAGGTCCTCTACGTTGCAACTGTGGCCTTCTCCATGGGGCTCATCGGTTTAACTGCCGCCGATGCGCAGACGTTCAAGCGCTGGGAACAGGGCACCCGAGGCGAGGACGGTGTGACAGAGGAGGTTTCGCAACAGGTAGTCTCAGATAGTTTCAGAAGATTTCAGGAGCATTTGGGATCGAACATCATGCGCATCCATTCTGGCATGTGCTTTGACATTTTGGTTTTGACTAAGCATACTTCCAGATAAAATGCCCTATGTTTAAATATTTGTCGGCTTGAATGTCGACTGCTTTCCGTTGTCGATTGAAATCTGGCCGTTTCATGCCGTTTTAAAACGTTCATCGTTGAGCAGTTAAAGAAATGCTCGTCAACCCGCCCTACAGGTTGCCTCAAACGCTTCACCAAGCTACTTGTGACCATCAAGGACCGGCAAAGTGCGGGGCAGCCATACGTCGCATATGACAACGAGTCTTGGCCGCATGTGTTGCGGACGGTTGTCCTTGCACATGTAAATGATATAGATTCAAATGAATGTAGATGAGAGGAAATCAATACTCTCGAAGCCTACCTGCTCCTTGCGGCCCTAGCGTCAATCGAAAACATGGCCTAGGCCGCCACGTGACCCATCGATGCCGGCGGCCGCTGGCATAGGCCACCGGCACCGTTCCCCATGTCGGCTGAGACGCCAAGGCCCATCGTTTTGTTTCGGTGCTGGGCAGTGCTGCTGGGCGATGCCCAGTTCCACATTTGCCCATCGGCCGGCAACTGGGTGAGGCTCCTTGTTTGCATCAGTTGGGGGACTGGGCGACGTGGTCTTCGCAAACTACCAACCCATAGCCAGCCACTCAACCACCCACTCAGATGAACGCAACATGAAACAATTACCAATCATTTCAGCAGCACTGGTTGGTCCACTGGTGTTCTTTCTTTGCACATCGTGCTTTGAGGCCGGAAGGGCCTCACAGTGGACATCGCATATGCGGCAGGTGAGATGCAAACTCTCAGAGGTGCCAAGGCATTTGAAGGACTTCACCTGGGTTTGGAGCCTCAGAAACGGCCTTTAGGGCGAATTAGCTCCCAAGATGGGGTACAGAATGGTGCAGACCGGCTGTGTTTCTTTGGTCCACTGATTCAAGCGGCTGCAAGGGCCGCAAGGGCCACATGTTCAAACATCTAACGCCAATTTGCAGTTGAGCATATTTGCATATATTTGCCGAGTAGCCATTTCAACGGCAGATCCCCAGTTTGTGAAAAGGGAAGCTGAACTCCTGAGGTCTCATTGCAACAGCGAAGGGCTGTGGCAAGGAGCTGCAGGGGATTTGTTTGTCTCTAGTTTGGCAGCCACACTTAGCTCCACCTCTTCGAATAGGGACAGCCATGCAACTACAAAAATTTAACGTTTCACGGTCACCTTTGCTTTGCATTGGATATCTAACGGTTGTGCCCCGTGCAAGGGCTGACTAGTGACAACCTCGCAGGGAGATCCTCTTCACCGTGGCCTACATTGCCAAAAGCTCTGCCGTGATGAGCTCTTTACTGCTGGACTTTGTGGTGCGAGCAACTTTCCTGACTCTCAGCCACACGAGACAGCGATGAAGGAATACAGCAACATAGACGGAGTACAGCTGAGAGGTGGACTGATGGACGCGGCGATTCACAGAACTGTGGACTGTGGGCTGCTGCTTTGAAGCTGTCCGCATGTTGTCCCTTGTTTCAGGATTGCGGCTGAACAGAGCAGGGATGCTCAAGATGATGACCCACAGGAGGTTGATAAGCACGCGCTTCGGCTGCTCTTGTTTTGTTTGTCTTGTTTGCCTATCAGATTCCAAACTTGATGACTCTGAGAAAATTGGAGCAGATGGGCTTGGCAATGAGGGCAGCGTGCGCATGGATTTCCAAGGCTTGGCAGGAAGCGAATCGAAGACGCGATTTGCTCGTGATAGCAAAGCTGGCAGAGGAGTCGCTTCGTTTACATTACCTGCACGCTTGATAGTAGAGAGAGAGAGAGAGACGGAAGCTTTCCAAATCTCTTGGTTTCATCTCCAGGAGGCGCGTTTGCGAGCTGCGGTGCTTGGGCAGGTGGTGCCTGGAGGCGCGGTTTGCATTGTGAGATGCGATCCAACAAGGCAAAACAACAAACCTGCTGCCGCACTGCTGCCAAAGCATCAATGACAAGATGTTCCATAGCCAATAACTTAAAAACCAATTCAATACTGTAAATGACTGGTTTGTACTATGCACTCCGGATTCCCTGATAGCTTTGTGCTTGAGGTGCTTTTGCCACTGCTGGTGTTCCAGATATTGCTATTAATCGGCTCAGGCCCAGCTTTGCAAGAGGAGCTGCGCAGTGAGAAGGTGACTTGGACAGAATTGAGCGAAACTATAAAAGTTGGTCCGTCCATCAGCACTAGATTCATGTTGCATAGATCCTGTCAAAGACTTTGAATGGATGTGTGTTGGCTTTTTGCAGGGCCAACTGCCACGACGGAGCATGATTTGGGCATGATTTGCAGCGCTGACTTTAGAGCAAAGACCCCCCCAGATTGCTTCATGACAAGTCGCTTGATGAAAGAGCACAAGATCCCAGCACTCCCTGTGATGTGCGAACTGAACTACTTTCGAGGAAGGGTGATCCCAAAATAGAAAGTGAACTGCTTGAGGACGCCGTCATCAGCTGGGGACACTGGGATCTTTGCCACGCAGTCCAGCAGCGTTTGCTTAAGGAAGACCGCTCTCTTGAGCCTGAGGAGCTGGGTTGCTGTACTTGTCAGGATTGAGACTCAGAGAGGCTCTCCAAAGGTCCCAATGATAGGTTTTACTCAAGACCTGCTGAGGGGAAGTTGGCCAGACCATACCAGACTGCTGGTTTTCGTCACCAACTACGGTTCGTTCAATTCGGCTCAGTGCTATTTTTCAGGACTTCGTGCATTTGGAGGAATCGCAAACAATGGCATTTGAAGCATCTTGTCATGAATCCTGAAGGGAGTTCGAGCCTCCCACGGATAGAATTGGAATCCCTCGATGCCATTTTGCTTGGCATAAGTTCTTTTCTGGACGTGTTCTTGACATGTCTTGACATTCTATCAAGCAGGGATTTCAACTGCGGAGATTGGCACTATAATGCCATGGAAGGTAAAGATGAACAGGTGCTGCACCAAATGCCGCCACAATGGGTGGAGTACGACTGTAACTTAAACAATTGAGCAGACAGTTTCGACTGCCGCCTTTGCAGGGTGAGCATGTTCCGACCACACCCACGGCCAAGCAGCTACAGCTACCGAGTTCCTTGGCACAAGTTTACTGTCAGAGGTTGCTTGAGCTCAAGATGATGGCATGCATGTGGCATAGGTCCATTTTCCAGACTCCTCCCTTCCCTTCTGGGCGATCGATCTCATTTAAGCTGCTTCGTGAAGGTGCAGCGGAGAGCGCACGAGCGCTTCCACATCATGAAGGACAGGAAAGAGTGCAACAAAAGGTTTACAAGATGTTCTCCCCCACGATCTTCCGAAGGCCGGAAGACACCACGGTCTTTGATCTCGATTCGCACGCTGCCCGCGGTGCGAATCGATTCTTCCACAGTGTGTCAGACTCCTGAGCAGTGGCTAATTGCCTTCGTCGCAGTGTGACTTTGATGCCTTTGCTTTGCAAAATGGAGGTGCCAAAGCCAAGAAGGTTTGAGCATGTTTGAGCACATATAGTAGTACCATGAAGCTAATGAGACTTACTGTATATTAATGTACATAAGTATTCAAAGACATATTACACATACAAGTGGCGTACTTAAGTCAACCCACGTCGCGTGAAGTCAACTCACTGCATGGGCACAAGGTTCCAGCGAGAAGTCAACCCACTCGCGTGAAGTCGACTCATTTTGGTCAAAGCACAATGGGCACAATTGAAAAATGAGCATGGCACGAAAGCGACATGTTCAAGGAAACGTGCACACGCACACTGTGTTATGGCTGGCATTTTTGCCTTGCTTTTAATGCCTGTGAAGTGCAGTTCTGCAAGGGCACACGGTTCCGAGTCGACTTTACACAAGCTGAGTCGACTTAATAAAGGCTAGTACCTAGTATATATTCATACATACATATATGTATATATACAATTTTATACACATATAATCACATATATATGTATAACTATCAGGTACGAGTACGTGATTTTGTTCATTTCCTGAGACCTTTGCATTCCTGCTACCTGTGCAGGGGCTGTACGTTTCAAGAGCTCAAAGAGGCGCTTGTGGTTTTACGCAGCACCCCCTGGGAAGAGCTGCAGTTGTGGCCTGGAGCTCGCTGGCTTTGATGTCTCAAACGTGGATGATGCACTGCAAAGCCCTTCATGCAAACCCTCAGTACTGGTAGTCAGATTTAGAGGATAGATCGCTGATGAGACTGGTGTTGCTTTGCGCCATGACTTCGTCGAGTCTCCATCACCGTTGATAGCTTGGCTTCAAGCAGGCTCCAGAAGTTCCAATGATTGGGAGACGTGGCTGAGTTGGAAAATTAGGAAGCCCTTCGGCACCTCACTTTGCTAAGAGAGGTAGGTTACAGGCATCTTGTTGGACCCAGCAGGGAAATGGTCGGACCATGGACACCTTTGCAACTAAATGATAATTGGGACAGTGACCCGAAAATCACATGCGTACGCCGCCATGGGCCGCTTTGCTGCTGTTTCTTCCATTGATTGGGAGAGCAAAAGGTGGCACTGGTGGCATTTTGGGCACAGGCGCCGACTAGTCACGAGTCGCAGGCAGAACAGAACATCCATTTCCGTCGAGTCGTGTCTGTCTACTTGCCTTGGCCTATCCATTTATGTCGTTGCATTTCTTCCTCGCACTGCTTGGATCACGGTAGTGTCTTGCAGTCAATGGCCGTCGCTGCATGCGGTCATGCAGTAGCCCTTTTGAAGGTAATGACTCTGCCTATGCGTTGCGCCACAACTACACAGATCCGCTTCTTATCCGAGTTTAAGATGCATGCTGACTGATACAGACACCCGTCGAGGCCATGTCATTGCTTGAAGGCTGTCCTGAGCTGTTAATATGCCCCAAAGGGTTTTCGGTGACACTGCTTGAGTCTGCACAAGGAATAACAATAACATACAATAACAAGCACATATCATATAAGTAGCACCTTGAATCGTCCGGCCATGCCGGGTCGAGCGTTGGTTTCGACACTCGGGAGGACAAACCCTTACATTGTAGCGCAAGCTCTTGAGACGGTGCACACATACGCAGGAGAGCCATCCCTGCCCCACACACCTAGTGTAGCGCAGGCGTATGAACTGGGGATGCTTGATGCTACTTTCGGGCAATCAGTCTCCTTTCCGGCGACCTCCAAGTTAGGCTTTCGAATAGAGGTGCCCGTATGGTCCGACATTGATAAAGCGTGTCGCTTTCCGGAGCATCAGAGTCACGCTCCAGAATCTGCTGGCGAGGCGCGAGTACAGTGTCATCGTCTTAAAGCATTTCGGCAGCCGGCGGCGCGCTGCGAGACTTGGACACAGCGAAACATTGGGAAGTCTCCGGTTCATGCTTCAGATTGTTTCAGCAAAAAGCAGGATTTGGTCCATCAACTAGGTTGGTCTCTTATGATTTTAAAGCTCGGAGGCTGGATTTGCGCAAACGTTCAGCAGAAAAAGAGCGGTTGTGAGTCAATCTTTGAGAACGTCGGCTACATTTTCCAGCTCACGACAAGCAATGGCATGTTTTTGCCGAATTCCCGCATCACGTGGAACTGCAAATAAGGACCTTCTATGATTCTGCAGATGGAGGCACGTGTAGCGCAGAGACCGACGCAGCTTCGTTGCATCAGAAAGTTTTGTTTATGGTGTCCTGCTGCAAGGCCTTTCATGTAACTTTAATATCAAGTTCTTTCAAGATCAAGTCCAGATCAGCCAGATCATACTAAGATTTGATTAGGATGGATTATTTGCAGAAACTCATTCGCAGCTTTTGCCACGTCCTGCGCAGTGCAGCATAGTGCAGCACCTTACTATCCATCTACAACACGCTGAACCGCAGGAGGCTCATACATCTTTGTGCGGTCTATCTATACGTTTATTGTAGTAGTACCCTACTACCCACCACGAGCACACCTAACAAAAGAACCAATCGATTCTAAGGCCAAAAGGCTTCTTCCCCTCAGCGACCTCATTGGCCCAGGAAACCTTCTCCAACGCATGCGCCAACCTGATGTCCAATGAGACGGAATGCTTCGGTTGCATGAGTTGCACGGCGCGGCATTGGTCGATGGGACCCCACGCTGACGGCGCCGGACACCGTGTCCTTTCACAGACGAACACGGCTAGCCTAGTCACTAGTCCCTAATGACTCCCGGTTCATAGATATGCAGCACGAGTGAATTAAGCGGTGTGTTTGTACAGCTGGACTCCGACGCCCACGACCTCCAAGTTGAAAACTTTAGGTATTGTTGGGAAAGACACATGAAGACACTGTTTGTTTCCCTACGACTCTCAGCTTTAGGTTGTGAAGATGAGACTTGCATGGACAACATCACTGGCTGCAGTGCTCCTTGGCTGACCGTACCATTGAACAGAATATTCCATTGCCATTGCCATGTTGCTCCCATGATGGCCCATGGCTTCAAACAGTCCACCATGCTGCATGCTAGATCAACCAAACTGTCGTCTTTGGAGCTTTACAACTGGACAACTGCCCAGGATCTTCTTTATGCGAGCTTTTATGAGTGCTGCCTTGATTGCGACAACCTAGACACAATCTATGTGACTTGGAATTGGCTTGGCGTTGGGCGTGCTGTGGTGAAGGGAACCGTGTTGGGGCATCCGTTTCATCCAGTCTTTGGCTGCGAACAGGCGGACTTTCCGTGTGTCCCAGTTCTGACTTTGGGATGGAATGACTCCCAAACCAGATCATGTCTCCTTCCAGAATCATTTGATCTCAGTATTTCGGACTGGTGCTGCACCAAGGTGGTCCTCATAATCACCGGCTTGGCGCTGGCTTTGCTCTCAGCAGCTGGCACTTGGAATGCACAAAGCCACAAAGCCGACTGTTTGGCAGTCAGTCAGTGAAGTTTGTTTTCTTTTGCTAGAGCCCAGCGGCATCCGCTTGCAACAAACAGCCTGCTAGCCGCTAGCCAATCTCAGTATATTCTTACGGCAATTGACCCTATCCGAAGACAAGTAGATGCAAGCAATGCAAGCCAGGCAAATGTTGCTTTGCGCTGAGTCGGGGTGCCACGCAGGTATTTGCTACTTTGTGACCACGCAGAATCAGAAAGTAAAGGCGCGGGTGGCGCAAGCTCCAAAAGAAACCTACCCGCGCATGAGCATGGAGCGAGCAAGGATGAAAGCCAGCGCCAGGCAGGGTGAGCCGATATCAAGGATGAACGAGCTGCTTGTGTTTCACGCGAAACTTTACATGATACACTTGTCGTCCCTTAGCCGGCCTTGGTCCTTTATATATATATATAGTTATATATACAAATCTACCCGCAATTGAAGCGATAGGATTTGAAGTTCTCTAGTTTCGCCATGTTTTCCCCAGATGGATTCAAATGGCATTAAAGTTGGAGTTGGCCTGAGATGCTGCAATTACAGTACAATGTGGAGCGCAGCTGCATTTCTGTCTCGGTAGGATTTTGCGAACTCCCGTGGATGTGGAGCTGGTGGGCACCTTTCGAGGAGCTGGTGTCACTACTGACAATGCAGTGAGGCTGGCCTCACGCCCGGCGGGTGGGAGGAGGCGGTCCCCGAACGATTCTCACATTATAATAAACAAATATACAAATACATAAATATACATAAACAAATACACAGACATACAGACATATATGTACAAACGCCCCCGGTTTATAAGATGCACGGTCATGTTTTGATCCCGCAGTGTTTCGGCTTTTGAAGCTTGCTGGGCTGTGCATGAGCTGCACGGCTTGTCACTTCTGGCAAGGAAGGCCGAACATTTGTCCGGGGTGTCGCACCCTGTGCCGGATCCAGAACATCTTCCGGGCCGGCGGGTTCTTACGGAACCAAGAGGATACTGTTGTGCAGTTGTTGAGGACTGCGTGTGGGGCCATCGAGGACTTGACTGAGCTGGCAATCCCTTTGTTGAAAAAAGAGCGTGCTGAGGCTAACCCCGCTGGATTTGACACTTCTCCGGCACGCAGTGCCATCGGGAGCTCGGGTTCAGCTCCTAGTTCAGTGGTCAAGCCTCCTGAGGAGGTCAAGGAGGCTGCAGGTGAGCCAGTTCCGGAGGCCCCACCCGGTGACTTCGGTGTTAAACCCAAGGAGGAGCACACAGAAGAGAAGGACCCCGTCCATACAGTGACAAAGAGCCCACCTGCACAGGAGGGCAAAGCAGAGGCGTCAGGTGAGAAGAAGAAGAAGAGAAAGCGTAAGCATTCCAGCGGAACAGGCCCAAAGAAGGAGAAGAGCAAGAGGAAGAAGAAGGCTGAAAAGCACGAGGAGGCAACAGACGGTGCTGGAAGCACTGATTTGAACTTGGATACACTTGCAACTACAAAGGAGGAGAAGGATCAGTTGGTCGCCACCTTACCTCAGCGGTTCAGCTTACGTCCAGCTCCCAAGGGCACAGTCGCCCGCCATTTCTCACACCACGAGCTGCCACCGCCACCTCCGGCCCCACGGAGGCCAAAGAGTCCAGATCACCCGCCATTGAGCGAAGGCCCCATCGTCGAAGGGGTTCAAAAGGAGTCAAGCACCGCGAGAGGGGCCGTTATTGGCCCTTCCGTCGTCGGTAGGCACCATGCCACCGAAGGCCAAAGTGAAGGCCAAGGCCAAAGCGAAGGCCTTGGCAAAGGCCAAGGCAGGCGCAATGAGGATCCGGAGGCCTATGCGGGCTCTAGCAAAGGTTGCTCTTCGACATCCAGCCGTTGGCCACCCTGGAGGACCCGCTCCTGCCCCTCAGGAGCGTTGGAGGCGCGGGGAGACTATGCCAGCAGGAGAGGTGCCGGTGCTCGAGCTTGCCAAGGAGAGCGAGGTGGTCATCCAACAGGGGTCCTACTTCGGGGCCGCATGTCGGGTAGCCGGAGGGGTCAAGGGGCTAGAAGTGGAGAGAGATGCCACACACCTCATCTTGCAGGCCACAGGCACCGACTCGGAGGGGTTGCTTCGTCATTGTACCGGACAGCCCTCAGGTTCTCTGAGAGTGCATCTCTGCGGGGCCGACTGCGGAGCAGATCGAGTATCAGAAGACTTGATCCATGCAGTGACGCTCCGACAGGCCAAGGCCAGAGAGGACGAGGATCCCTGGACGAGGAACTTGTTGAGCGTGGAAGGAGGC